TGTCGGAATAGCACCGACGCAAAAAGGTTCGCCGCAACCGCTGTAGCTATATCATTGACTTTGAGACCCTCGCTGGGTGAGTTGACAAGCATGGCGATGAAGGCGATGAGGTTGATACTAAAAACCATAATGAACAGCTTCCTGTACGCAGACAATGCCTTATGGCGGAACCATCTTTGCCCGTGGAAGCCAATTTTTGGCGGCAACTCGATCTCGTTCTCGTTGTCGCTCTTCATCTCTGTGGTCGGGCCGCGCTCAAGGCTATTCTTCACGGTAGCCGGCTTACACAGTCCTAGGGTCGCCTCCTGGGAGTTAACCATGGATGGTCGCATCGGAAGCCCTCGGACCGGCTTTGTGATTTTGGTTTCGGTAGCAGTACCTAATGTTTTGAGGACACCCTCATCAATCTCGCCGCCGGGTGTTGTTGGCATACTCGTATGAACGAGCTTTTTACTTTCAAAGTTCATAGCTCACCGCTACTCTCAAACTCAGAACAAGGACACCAAGTATGTATAGAAAATGGGAATACTCTTTAAATAAGGTCGTTTCTCCGCGAACCAATCCGCCAGCCTGGATTACCTGCCACTGCCATAACTTCCACTCCCAACCGGCGAATTTCTATTTGCAGCCCCTGCCGGGCCGTCTGAACATAGCACAGCGCTCAGGCATGAGAGATGCTACTGGGCAATCTCGGCCATACATTCATTTATCCAGCAATGAAAAGAGAGGGTAATTCTTTGTTGATTGACAAAGGGCGTCACGCTATTGGAGGCCCGTGCGTGATGATGCCAAAGTTACCAAAATTATTATCCAATCAAATTTTATCAAGGATACCAACATAGTTGGAAGTGCTTGAAAATGGTCGATAATACATAGTTAAGTTTAAGTAATGCCATGGTACTGTATTGTACAGTACTCGTATAGTATACCAAACAAATTTGTGATTGTTCCGTACTGACCACAGGTTTCAATTCGGCGATGATGAATCTCATGGCCTGAACGAAACACACTCGGAGGGAATGGTGTGATTCGGCCGTGCTTTCCCACCTGAACATTTGGAGCCTGGTGCTACATCAAATCGACGATTTACAACATGGAATCACAAGGGCCGAAGGACCTTCCATCGTGTGACCTGGAGGCGCGGCAAGACATGGATCGTTGCTGTACTTCAGGCTCTGGGGTAACAAGTACAAGTATAGATCATGCATCTGGCAGTCTAAGACATCCTTCAACCGTGTTCTGACCAGAGTCTTGAATGCAGCTAAGATGAGGAGCTATCATATCCCGAAGACTTATGTCACGGCGGCATTACCCGAACATCCACTCAGTAGGCACTCTGGGGCAAATATGTGCCTGCTCTCACAATAGGATGCATCCTGATAGGCTCTACGCCGAGAACATCCAGTGCAGACCGTCCTGAAAACATGATCAAGAACTACTTCTGCCAGAAGGTCAAAAAGGTGGAGCGCAGAATTACCAAACATAAGCGCCACGATAGTCGCCATCGATGGAGCGCCACGCCCTGACCGTTCGGCAGCGTCTTGTAGATTTATCAGTTGACATCTAAATCAAAGGCGGTGGTGGAGTCACAGCTGTCTAGTGGGCAAAGTCTCTCCCAGGCCTGATCCACGCGTGCACGCACGTTCCTGGTTTTGGTTAATTTTGAGGAACAACAGGCTGGAGGAAATTATAGCAACAACCAGAAAAAGGCTGAAAGATGGGTGGGGTCAGGATGTGTGAGGCAAGCAATTTGATATACACGTACGCTCGCTCGACCTGATATGATTTGACCTGAGTTGGATGTTGCCGCATGACAGGGCCTGCAACTCACAATTCAGTTGTAGTCCAAGAGCTCAAAATTTGATTAGTCACATTACCTCGAGACTCACGAATTGTTATGAATTGCCATTGGTTGCCCACGTAGGCAATCATTGTTATGTAACCACACACAAATAGGATTACCGTGTCAGATGTCGCCAGACTCCATCACTGGCAGCTAGCTTTGTCATCCTGCCACACCACATATCGAACAGACTTTCCCTTTCGTTTGCTCCAGCACTAATGGCTTGTAGGCTTAGACGGCGGCGCCGGCAAGAAATGCAATTTTTAGGGTCAAGTCAAAGGCCTGATAAATGGTAGAAAGAGGAAGCTATTGACTGTATGCTCAACACTATACGGTACAGTAGTGGCAACTCGACAAAAACAAAAACTCTGCTGGAAATCAATCTACCACAAGAAGCTCTGCAGTGTGGAACAAGCAAACAGGAATGGTCTTGCTCGTGAAGATAATCACCTCGCTCTACTGTAAATTGACACAGTTGTGTACAAATTTATACAGCATTAGTCGCCAGATGAAAAAGAGCTATTCCAGATGACAATTGACTGGTGACCGAACTAGGAAACAGACGAAGATTTCCTACCAATCGATTTTCGAAGGTCGACCAATCAATCTTTTCCTCGGGTACGACAGAGACCATCAAAACTATAGGTTGAGGATAGAATCTGCCAAGCCTCCAACTCCACCGAAGCTACTATCAGCTATCATGTTGGCAATATTGTGCCTGGGAAGTTCTCCAATAAATCCTGCGAGTGGCCTTAACCATCTCGCCCGCTGTCAATTTGCATCATATCAATCACCATGACCCATTTGAACCACACTGTAAACAAGTCTGGCCAGAGAGCTCCTCGAGACGCTCATATTCCGCATTCATGATCAAGCATTCTGTTGTACCGCGGCGTGCGTGGCAGCGCAGAGGCCTCAGAATGGAAAAGGAATCACCCGTTCCCTTGTCAACGTCTGGGAAAACTGCGTGGTCGGTATCACACCGCGGGATACCCAGTATATCAGGATCCGGATCGGAGTATGAGATGGGCTTGGATTCGAGCTCCGGATCCAGCTCCGAAACTGAATCGGATGATTCTGCGGACGAGCGGGCGGGATGGAACCGGAACGTTTCTGGCTTCGATTCCGGCTATGGCTCCCAAGAGGAGGATACAGATGAGAAGGCCCGGTACTACGACGAGTTGCTACAGCGATTCCGGGCAGAAGATCCAACATTAGCCGACCACTCCAGAAATACAGTGAGAATGGAGGAGGAGCAGGAGGCAAAGTGGGAAGAGTAGGACACGAGAATCATTTTTCGACGATCCGTGGCTGACACCGGACGGGACAGGTTCTGGAATTGTGATACCACTTCAAGATGTGCCCATGATACCCAGGGAACTCGAAGACCTTGTTGCATTTGGTGCTTTGCTAAAGAGCTTGTGGCACAGTACATTACCACTCTATTGTCTTCTAAACGTGATTGCTTCGGATAAGCCCAGCGCCAGCCGCCGAACTGTGCGGCTCAACCTTCGCCCAATCGATGTTGTCTAGGTTGGTCTGCGGCCAGGATGGCCGAGCTCTCAACAGCGGCGTAGGCAAAAGGATTCAACTCCTATCAGGTAGTTCGACCGGTGAAAGAAAAGCTTTGCCTTAATGGGTCATCATTCCACTGGGAATCTTCTTAAAGTGTCCTTTATCTCCAGTCAAGAACGAGTGGATTGCTTGAATGCGCCTTTACCAAAACCTTTGGAATGTAACGGTACCATTGTCATTAAATCGTCAGACAAGAGGTAAATGCTGTGATGTGAAGTCACAAGGTTGGTTTGGAAGCCACAGCCCTCGAAATATTGGTCGAGGGTGCTTGAGTGCGTTGGCGCGGGCACATCAGCTAGCCTCCAGAGGCAAGATCGGGCTGTACGCCTGAGCCAAGCTTCGTCATCGTCTAACACAGAAGACGCTGTGATTGACTTTCAAAGCTCCGGCTAGTTTGGTCAAGGGGGAACGAGATTATCGACGGGCAACCATGACGGTTTCGAAGGACTGTTATGGCTCGACGGATGGACGTGGTCGAAGTGCAGCTGATGGCGAGCGCGCTCCCCTGAACCTACCGCCAGGCTGGCTTTGCTCAGCCGTCAGCGCAGATTGCTACAAAATTGGGCGGCCCAGTGCTCGATTTGGGATTCAGGACCCCTGGTACCAGGCAGAACATAGTACATGATTACCACACATCTTCACCCTTACTATCCATGCATGGTGGACCACTTTTATTGTTGAAGAAGGTGAACAACCATGGATCTTGGAGAGCAGTGATATCATGGTCGAGAGTGGTGAGGATTTTAAGAGGAACGATTAGTTGCTTCGCTTTAGCATCCTGCGCTCAGTATTGGAGGGAGACATGAATCGGTCGACAGACTGTAAACCGCAAATTGAGAGCGAGTAGCAACCAATGAGGTAATCCCAGCGCTGTCAACTTCGTCTGTATATTATCGCAGGTCTGAGTGAGCCAGGCGGGGACCCCAGGTAGCAAATCGTACAGTACAGCCTCCTTCCGAGCCAATTAAACCTTGAAGATGGAGTCCGCCGCCGCTTGATCGTTTACATGTGCTCAAAGAGAATCCTCAGCCGTCTGCGCTTTACAACGCGCAAGGGAAAGACGCCAGAACAGCCAGCCAAGGCGGCTTTCCAGAACGTCATCCATGCTCTCGGAAGACGCGGCAACATGAAGCTGTGCAAGCTTGCTACCGTGTCTTTTGAGGAAACGGCTTTATTTATTGACAGGGCGAAGGATATTATCAGGCTCATTGATTCCTGGACGAGCCACCCGAGAATTCAGCACCTTGAGGACTTAGTTGATGGACTTTTTCGCCCGCGACAGGTAAACTGCCAGGCCGTGCTCGACACCATCCCAAACGACAAGATGAAAAGAACGCTAGAAAAGGCGTCCTTAACATGATACACAAAGTTGCAAGGTACCGAGAAGCTGCTCGGTTCCTACTACGCACCTCCAAGAAACTTCCCATTGCTCGACGTATGCATATCGTGCCCATTAGCCTTCCGGAAAATTTGTTTGTCAGGACGATTTTGAATACTAATTACAACCGGTGCGTTCCCTCATGCGTCTCTTTGTGCCCCGCTCATCTGCTCTTCTCCGCTTATTCTCGCCCCCCCCCCCGCTGTGCTTGTGACTGCCAGAAGCTCGGCTGCGGATCGCCTCCGGGCCTCGTATGCTCGCCTCGACCTGCCGCTGCTCCGCAGATCATCGTCTGGGCAAAGGACAACATGCTCGACTTCACTTTCCTTGCTCTGGGTTTCAGCTACTTTGCTTCCTTGGGATTCGCTTTGGGTACTCACTTGGGAGTCTCCTATTTCTATGATGTTGCGATAATTGGCAGCCATTGCCGCGACAACATCGGGTCGGGCAGCAGAGAATTGGCAGCAGAGAATTTGAAGCATTGACTTGCCAGCAGAACATCCGGTATTGAAATGTGTTGGTGAGGACAAGGAGCGGAACGATCCCGAGACAGACGGGGCCGACGCTTTGGAGAGTGAGGGAGGAGGGGGTTGGTATACTTATACCTCTCCTTCATTGCGGAGCTCGAAAGTTAATTGAATCATCGCTCCTGCACTAGCCCACTGCCTTAAACCCCCCACGACCCCTCTACGCATCTTTCACGTTCTTCAAGACTCTTGTGCCTGTAGTAGCACGGACCGCGGACTCGTCCACTGGTGTACGAAGACACCATAGCTTGCCCATAGCTTGCCCGTGTCCGTTTGAATCACATAGAGATGGTTGAAGTATCCCGGAGGGACTTGCGACTTCACCTCGATACTCGTACTTTGCTCTCGTGATATCACAAAGATGAGTGTCTCCATAATCAGGACGCTGGGACTTGAAAGCGCGCTGTCAAGCGCGTCCGCGTGTCAGGATCCTGCACCTAGGTCTAATTTAGGTAATCGAGTTATCAATAGAAACCAACATGCCAGAGGCCATTCGGATCAGATGCAGTGAGGGCGGGTAGGTTGACGCGACCCAAAAGGTCACCATATCGGCGCAGCAGAGACATGCATAGAGGTGTGATGTTGATCACGGCCAGGACGGCGGCGCGAGCTGACAGGTCAGCCTTGCTCTGGACAAAAATACAAGTAACAGTGATTTCTATAGCCAGGAAGACGAAAAAGACAAGCAGCTCCAATCGCGTGACGCTCATCCAAAACCGCCTCCGCACCACGAGAGGATACTGGATATGACGCGTGAAGCTTACGTCAAGCCATGGCAAAATGGGTAGCCAACAAATTTGAAGAAGCCTGATTAGGGAACATAGCGTGATAAACCCCCCAAAAAGGGCTGCGTACTGTTGAACGGCATTCAAAATTGTTTACAAAGGGACCAAAGTTTTGTTGAGGCCTCTGGAGACTGGAGCGAGGTCAGGAAAGGGCTTTTGTTCCCTCCTAATAACTATCTTGCCCGATTTTTGATATACTGGTGCCAGACTCCAGGATACCGTTCCTCTATGCCCCAATGCTGGTTTCGCCAAGCCGAAATACCGTCACTTTGTCAAAACCGGTTACCGAGACCCTGGATCCTGCTCAATCTGTATACTCCACGAGGCTGCTGCGAGATAACTTCCCGTCGGCTCCTACAGACAAACATCAAGCGCTGGCCCATCATAAGCAAAAAGCAGAAGGAAGTAGAGCGCCTTAGCCGTCAGCTTTTGCGGTTCGAGAACAAATCTCCTGGTTCTATTTAAAAAAGGCATCCTAAGGTTACTAGAGGACTTGGAACCGAAGATCAACTTTCATGAGGACGATTCTGAGGAAACGACGGAGCACCCAGTAGAAAGGCCGACCAATCCCAGGGCTCTGAGGTCCGCGGAGGGGAAAGCTACGAAAGCTCTACTTTGAAGTAGAAGGACCGGGAGAAGAGGGGAACGAAGGTAGCGAAGATTATAGCCGAGTTCCGGAAGCAAGTGTCGAGCAAGAAAACATGGCGGACTCGAGCAGTGCGGATCAAGGAGCTGGCCAGGGCGGCTCGAGTGGAGCCGCAGCCTTAACCCAGTCCAAAAACTACTGGCCGCTATTTGCGTCGAAGGTCAGGGACGAACTGAGATGGCTCCCGATCAAATTTGAGTGCCATTTATATGGCTGCGATTTTGCCGATATCGAATTCCACTGCGAGATATATTGCGAATTGGAGAATAAAGATGCCACTGAGGATCAGCTGCTGGATGTTGGCCAAAGTTCAATGTACAAGTGCCCAAAAGCGCTCGCAGCACTGGAGAAGACGTAATCTGATTCCGGTAATTCGAGCTACCGCAGCTATCGGGACACACATCCGCGGCCACCACCGCCCAACAGCCTTAACATTGCCAATGGCGATCATGACGGCCACGGCAGGCATGACTCAAGTCTTCTCACTGATGACTTAGAACGCGACCGGCAGCAGATTGGTTTTGGCAGAGACTTGAGGGACCTGCCCCGAGGCTAGCAAGATATCGTGCTCGCCCGGAACCCTGGAAACATTGAACTCTCTTGCAAGTCCTGGAACATTTGCTGGCTGGTGATACTCCCAGAATTGGCGCAAAAGAATAGACGCCTTGATCAATTAAAAGACAATGACCGTCCTTAAACTTAACAGCCCAAGTAGCGACAAACTTCGCCAAGTGTAAGACATTAGTAATTTGCTATTGGTAGTGTAGATGGGATTACGCACTTCAAGGAACCCTTGGTGATATGGCTGATGAGAAGCGGGATGAACACCGGGCACCCATGCAGCTAGACCGGAAAAGGTCCGAAGGGGTGCCTAGCGCGGGAGCAGCGCATGCTCCCCCACTCACTGAAACCGCCCGGCGCGGCGACAGCTCTCCAACGAATCTCTTCAACTCCCTGACTGCTGGTAGTTCTAACTCCCCTCACTCTCCTCAAAACACACACTGCGAGGACATGAACCCGGAGTGGGAACCAGGCTACACGACAAAAATTCCGCTCTTACTGTCAAATGGCTGTCCCTGTCCAAAAGCCTCAAATAGAGTCAGCGGAAGCCTCCACCCCTATCGCTTGTGCCGAGAACATCGCTTTGTTCCACTTCTTGCACGCCGTTCGGGGAAAGAATGGAGCGATTTCCAAGGACTCTGTCCCTGTTCGTCCGTCAGTCGACCCTATTGAAGGCGTGTCGATCTGCCGCAACGAGTACTCTCTCTCCTTCGAGAGAGAGCGCAGCTTGGCCAGCGCGCTTGCATTCTTATCCAGAATTAGGGATGACCCCGAACACATCCCTGCAATTTGCATTGAGGAAGACCACTGCCCAGGGGCAGAGGCCTCGCTGCGCATATTGCTGGCCGTGAATAGAGCCACCTGCAAGGATGGTGATGGAATGCTGCAGGAGATTAAAAAGGGATTTGAGGGTCTCTTTGCAGTGCTTTCTCAGTCGGCGGACAGCAGTAAGCTTCTCTGCACTCCCCGATTTGCCGGGTTAGCTGTTTAACATGATGCCACACAACAGACGATAATCAATCAGACTTTGAGAACGAAGTCCGGCGCTTGATCGTGTCCATGTGCTCAAAGACAATCCTCAGTCGTTTGCGCTTTACAACGCGCAAGGGAAAGACGCCAAAACAGCCAGCCAAGGCGGCTTTGCAGAACGTCATCCGTGCTCTCGGAAGACGCGGCAACATGAAGCTGTCCAAGCTTACTACCATGTCTGTTGAGGAAACGGCTTTATTTATTGAGAGGGCGAAGGATATTATCAGGCTCATTGATTACTGGACGAACCACCCGAGAATTGAGAACCTTGAGGACCTAGTTGATGGATTTTTTCGCCTGCGACAGGTAGACTGCCAGGCCGTGCTCGACACCATTGCAAGCGACAAAATGGAAACGAACGCTAGGAAAAGCGTCCTGAATATGATACAGAAAGTTGCAAGGTACCAAGAAGCTGCTCGGTTCCTAGTACGCACCTCTAGGAAAGTTCCCATTGCTCGACGTATGCACATCGTGCCCATTAGCCTTCCGGAAAATGTGTTTGTCAGGACGGTTTTGAATTCTAATTACAAACTTGGCCTGGCTGAACTACTCTCGCGGATCAGGCGGTCCAAGGACACAAACCAGATTATTGAGCAAGCATCTCGGGCCGACATACTCTGCCGCCTGCTCAAGACGAATCCGAACAAAGCAGAAGACGAACTTACGGCGCAGACCTCTAGAACACTCAAGACCGGCAAAATACACGCCGAAGTCCAGCTCGTATTTTACTGTGAGCTGCTCGATAGAACCCAAGGGCTTAACAAGCTGCTGCTGCCACCAAGGGTGGTTTGCTCGAGCAAAAAGGCGTGCTTCCTATGTAACATGTTCATAATCATGCACGGCAAGATACGCACACCATGGTCTCACGGCAAGCTATATCCGGGGTGGCGGCTGCCGAAGTGCTCAGAGCTGGATCTCCAATCACGATTCAATCAAATTCTCGAAGTTCGGATCAGGGAGAGCATTGCGATGCTGCTTGTGAGACGGGAGAAGACATGTTATCCTGGCCCGAGTGAGAGCACACTCGTCACCCTGCCTTCATTGGCGTTGCAATCAGAGATCATGGTGAATCCAAACTGTGAGCGAGAGACATTATGGGATGTGACACAGACGCAAGCCATGGAAGATGTCAACGAAAACGAAAACGAGGAGGTGATGGAAGACAATGGAGCACTGTTAATGAGTTCCAAGCCTCTGCCAGCTGCGGTGAACCGGAGTCGCATCACCGCAAAGCTACCTGATGATATCATTCAACACGTCAAAGGGGGCATTACGCTCACGCCATCGATTGACAAGGATAGCGAGGTGAAAGAGCTGCAGCAGGCACCTAATTTGGCTCCAGAAGACGAAGGCTCGACGCCGAATACTGGCTCGATTCAAGGGCTATCGGATCTCCCTTTCCGATCTGAAATGATGGCAAAGCGAGGCAGTCGATTTACCAATGGCGTATTACGGGATAAGCCGTCATTTGACGAGCTTGTCAAGGAAGCAGAACCCGCCCAGTCCACCGCATCATCAAAAGACGATATCAATCGCTCCAACAAGGACTACAACATAGCACGGGGCCAGAATCTTTGCAATATTTCTAAGGATAATATCAAGTCTCCTGATATGCGGGAGCCATCTCCGCATTCCCTGATAAACTGCAATGGAAGTGTCGATTCTCTCGATGAAGACAATGATTTAATACAAGGTCAGAAGCTCTCGTACACCATCCGCGCCGAGCACAGATCACCCTTCTACATCGCTGGGCCTTTAAAGGTTCAAGTCGAATACTCGACTGGATCTAGTCTGAAACCCACGGCAGCAAATCAGGTCCGTGAGCTTGCCTTCAGCATAGAACGGCTCACCATAGGCGAGGTTGCGAGATTGAAGGCCCACGGCGGCGTCCCCATCTGCGACGCAGAGGCAATGATAGGCGAGGTCTCGCCAGCTTTGAATAGCCTGGGCCATCTCTATATCGCTGCGGGCAAAGTTGTGTTCAAGGTTACCCTCCACTCAGGGCCCGGAGCTCTCAGTTGATCCCATTAATAGCGAGGCAATTTGATTGAGACTATTGAACAGCGGGGTCGACGAACTAAGAAGTCATCAAATTATTCTGTGATTTCCTACGAGGCTCTCAAGCGGCAGCTACTACTCGACGTCTTAGGCGGAGTGATAGAACGGAATTGAAGTCTACGACGATGGACATGTTGGGCGTAATGGTCTCACTAATGCCTCAATTAGCCCCCGATGACATTGACCAGCGCTATTGACGTGATAAGACTTGAAAAATCGGCACAGATCCTGTGTCCGGGACGCTTCGGGCTTGGGTTCAACAGTATCGCCCTCGCTCCGAGATCTCAGTATCCAGTCTGGTTGTTAGGGTGCCCGATTCGGAGGGCCCGGGATCTTGAAGGCCCGGGCCGAGCAGAAGCCATGCTGTGTGTTGGGTAAGCAGAAGTTGAAAAGACAGTGAAAGTGCAATTAGGGTGATTTGATTTGAAATGCGTTTGGGAAAAGGACACCAACAATGACAGATCCTAGCTGGGGTCCGGATGGGGAGGAGAGGACGACTGATATTGATACCGTGCGCTGCTTCCGCTGTGGTTGCGATTCTCTCTCCGACATCGATCAACCGAGCAAGACAGTAAAGAAATTGGTTCGAAGGAACCATCTCACATCTACGATAATACAAACGAGTCCGTACTGGCCCGTTCTCGTGTTCGGAGACGGAGAGATGGATCTGATGAGGACCAACCAGTTGGTCACAGATCTACAGAAACTGGCGGCCACCATGCTTCTCCACTCCGTCCTTCGACCCCTAGACACAGAGGCAGGCGTGGTCTATGGATCTTACACAGTATACTGTGGCTTGGTCACAGCTTTTGGTTGGTTCAAAGGCTGTTGGAACTGGCTACGCTTAAATGTTTTCTTTGTGGTCATCAGGTTTATTTTCTAGTCCTGTCGTGACAAATATTGTCGGCTGAGGAAGCGATCTGTGTTTTTGTAACATCTGCAGACCTTCAGGAGAAGCAGGCCAGAATCGAGGGTCTCAACAGCATACACAGGCATGCCAGTGACAGAGTAGAGCATGTTGTCATTTCAGTTGTCAGATTGTGGGTGTATCCTACCAGGCCCATTCTTTTCCATCCTCTGAAGAGCCGAGGAAAACATGCGGTCAAAAAGAGATCATTAATGTAGGTAGGCCGCACAGAAGATGGCCTCCACACACCACTGGCTCTAACTCCCACTCGGACTCCGATTTCGAGTCCGACATTGAATGAGCACCTGGGGGGTTTAAAGAAAGGGGCTAGATTTAAGTAGCCACTCTTCGTGCAAGCGAAGGACGCGGCACCGAGGCGTCAAGGCACCAAGGCAGGACCTGGTGGTTTTTAGGTGAACACGGTCTCTACCTAAGTAGCACACTCATTCACAGAGAAGCAGGAAACTTCATTCTCATGCATACTTCGACATTGTGACCCTTTGCGACGCGAAGAACTCGTGATTATTATATCTAGCAAGAACGTATGTGGTGGACAGTCGGTGGCGTAATCGGCTTCGTCTCCTCGGGCGATTTTGAGATTTTTAAAAGTGCCCCATAGGTGACGATTCGCTTCGGCAAAGCACCTTTTACACCGGCGATTAAAATTCGACGTAATCCTCAGAATTTCAAATCTGTTAGTTAGTACCTGCCGGTAAAGTAGCCTCATCATTTTTGGTGGACAGCTGAATTGATCAGTGCTTTTACAATTGAGTAGTTGAATGGCACAGTATGGCCCTAGTTGGTAATGATTGACGTTGCAGTATCGCTGTTTGTTTGTTAGGACTATGAGTTGTGTGTCCTCCGGAGCAATTGTTGGCTTTCAAGTAGTCCCATAACGACAGTGACCTCGTCTGTGCGGATACGCAGTATATTTCGGCAATCAATGGAACCTCTTCCCCTTTCACGAGAAGTCCATGGCCTTCCAAGTCCTCGCCTACTTTCCACGGTCGCCGTGGAGACCTTACCCGCTCGTTTCAGCGTCGGAGAGGACGAGGCAGCTCTCCGCCCTCGCACAGCGATTGCTCCGGCGACGGCGATGGAGAATATGGGAACGCCGCCGGCCAGTATCGGCTGCAGGCCGTTCCCGGGCTCTCGCTGGAATACTAACAGATTTACTAGGGTCGTCTATGCGTGCTAGCTGGCCATTCTTTATACACGGTACCTTATGCTTGCAGGACGACGCTCTTGCTGACCTTCAATGAGTCAATCACCCCTTCCTTCTTTATAAGACTTCATACTTGTTCGAAAATTGCTTGACGTAGCTCTCTGTTATCCCCACAAAATGTAGGAGGCGGGAGCTCCTGTCAGCCCGGAGAACAAGACGTTATTTGCATCAGACGGCAGAAAGTATCGATCGTGTATTTCTAATGGATATTTACGAAGAAACTCACTATGGTGCATTAGAACATGGTTGCTAAAGAGCGCCGAACAGTCCATGGATGATGCATGCCTGACAAAGTTGCACTGCAACCGGCTGAAGCAGTTGGCCAAATGTAATGGGCAGGGGCCGATATTCGAAGGGACAGATGTCCTTGAGGCTATTGGGAACCTTACCTCCGGGAGCGATAAAGCTGCCTCGAGGCAACAATGCCAACTGCAGGTGTCCGTGATTATGGGCTTGTTGACATTCTCCAGAGTGTCGATGCCGGGGAAATGGTGTGAAACAAGTGTTTCACGCGGCCTGGGTCGTCTCTTGGCCATCTCATTCAACCGTGTCCGCTGAGGGTAGGACCATTGAAATGGCATAGAGATATTGTTCTGGTCATCATTGTAAGGGTGATCCCCGTTGAAGGACATCACCGTGCCCACGAAATCCATGGCAGAAACTCGAAAACTGCATGGGCACGGGGGACAGAAACAGCGCTCGAAAGAAGCCCGTGTCCATCCATGTCTTTCCTCCCTCAAGACCGTCATATTAATCAGCAGCTCCGTCAATCCTCCGTGCTGGGTACAATATTGGTGATGTTGATCTCGGGGCGTTGTGCTTCCTTCTGTTTGGTACGCTTATGATTTCGTGCTAAACACGTTTCGGAACGTCACTATGCTCTTTTATCCTCCCTCCCTTCTCAGCGTACTCGACTAACGTTATCAAATTGGTAACCATGTACAGAACCGGCCTCAACCTCCACTTTAGCGATTTCATCCCCGACGCTATCCTAAACACTCAGTCCCCCGAACCAGATCCCACACTTCATGTTCCATCTAGCGAGTTGTCCGATAGAAAATGCCAGAGCACCATGAAACATCTTCCAGGAAGTCAGCAAGAGGCTGCCAGTATGTATAAAAGCGTAAGTGGCAATAGAACTGAAGGTATCGCAGGTAGTTCTTTTGTAGATTCGAATCAGTCAACCCTGCAGCCACCTGGAATGTTGCCACATATTTCCCGTAACTTTCGGCACTGGCGTGATCCCAGCTGTCCTCGTCCTCTTCCGCATCCGCGCCATTCGCAACGAATGTGTTATGGGTTTGGACGATCACGTGCGCCTGATCAATAAATCTGTGTGGTCAAGATGGTCTACTTGGTCGCTAGAAATAAGCTCATCACGCAACCCCAAAAGTTTGCCTCTCAAGATTCCGCACTGAGTACTCCCATGCCATTGAAAAAGGAACACCTGACGTAAATCTGTCCGTCACCAGTCAAATTCGATCTCTCTCCTATCCCTCCGTCTCCCCCACGGAATCCGCGCTTGGTAATGGCTCAATATTGATTTCCACCAACACGACCTTTCCGCATGGCGCGTCTGCAATACATTCCTGCATGAAAGCAGTGAAATGTCGCTTCAAAGCATCGAATCGGTCTTCCCTGCCGCGGCAAACCGTTTCTTCGGCATATGTATTCGGAGCTACCAACACGAAATGCAGGTACCTGAATTGGGACCACCCGAGACGCATCGAAAGCTCCTGGTCCAGCTGGGCGAGCGTCATATCGTGGAAGCTGCGTTCCGGGTCTAAAGGAAGGCTCTGACGCTCTGGGTGGTGAGAGACAGCGCGGAATATGAACTCCACCCGTTTTTGCAGGGTCGGTGCCGCTTGAAGTGCGTCGTTATTGCTTGGCCTATTTGACGCAAAATTTTCGAACGCCGCCGGGCCTGATTCACTAGTAATGAACCGAGATGCTGCTGATAATGGTTCAAGTATTGAACAACTAGGTATAATGTGAAGGCTGCGCTCTGGTTTCTTCTTGTATTTGGCATTGCGATACTGCTGAATGTTCAACCCCCAGAATAGTCGTCGCATAATTGTTTTGATTCTGGAAAACAATCAGCCTGAAAGTCCTTAATCTCTTGTCCTTGTATACTTACCTTATACTATGAGTAGAACATTTGAGTTGTTGGCGCGAATATGAGATTCGTCGTCCGGCCAGAATTCGGTACCGTACGCGCGAAAATATGCTTCAACCATCTCCATCAAGGCATTTTGATGTTTCTGACATTTCCAATCACGAAGTGTGCTTCCCTTCAAATCTTGTCATGCAACGAATGCTTTTCGAAAGACCTGAACGCTATCGTAAAATGCTTGACATCTCCGTAGGCTAGGATCACCGTAATCGAGTTCACGTCGCAGAACAGTTATAGATGGAATCGACGTGGGCCTTGTTGGGCTGGCCATGGTGATGGGAAATAGCTTGCAAGAACAGAACTGTCAACCAGAAGATGAGAAGAGGTGAAAAGGAAAAGATGAGGCAGGATGGGGGACACATTTTATCTGGTCGTCTTGATGATAAGGACCCTGGATCAGCTGGTCATACGAACAAGTCGAGATTAGATGCGGGCTGTGTTCCTTGACACCCCAGCCCGCCTCGTTTCAGATATCTGCAGGTGAGTCACTAAGACTGCCCACAACGGCTAGTTGAGACTATTGGATGGTGTCGGTCTTATTTACAGGGCAGTAAGGTTTCGGAGGATTCTACTGTCTTGTACAATCAGGCAGCTATCTCGATCAGTTCCGGAATGCTAATAGGGAAGGGCCAGTCCAACATACCTGACTGTTGATGGGTAAGTTAGCGAAACAAGTGTGGCCGAGGAGTATGCCCGTTCAACCTGTCGGTTCATGGCAGGCCACGCCCGCCTCGCCAGGTTGAGGCCTCCATTGCTATTCATACGCCCCATCTTCCACGGCGGCGTCGTCTTATATCCCTGTAATGTTCTTATACATCACGGCCTCCGCTCACGGTAGCTCATGTGTTGGTTGGGAAGTTTTCATCGTCAGCCCAAGAGGCGCAGCAGGCCCAACAGTTACGATCTCTCGGCTGATGGCCGATTGAATTAAATCCTTTTTTTTTTCTACTGCTTTCATTCATCTCCCTGGACCGTGATTTTCTATATGCTGTAAATAGGCCTGCGTGTAGTCCTCGAGGCCACGGTGGTACATCGCCCTCTGTGCACAACCAGTACACCAGCGGTCACGAATGAAACTTTCCTGTCCTGAATACAAGATTGATACGGGTTGCACTCTTACAGTGGACCATGTCAAAAGGCGTTCGATCATTTAAGTGGTCTCGTACAGCATATATTTGCCCCAAAGACCTTGACCATAAGCACCAAGCCTGGCTGTAGTCAGTGTCATGAAAAGAACGAGAGATGTGACGGAGGATGCCCGTGCCGCAACTGTACAACTGCTTCACGCCAATGCAGCGATAACAAACCTTCGTATCTTCAACAGCCGATCTCCAAGGATATCAAAGAGGTGGGTTTGGATAAACTGTGCTCCCAAATCATCTCACTATACTTGTCTCATAACACAACGGAAACTAACATTCATTCTACATGTATTAAACAGTAATTGGAAAAGATAGACCGCTAATTGCTAGGCATGTTTTCTATATTATATGAGTACGATAAGAGCAGGAAATCATCACGCTTCAAATATCACGGGCACCTACTTTGGTCCCGGTGGAAGTATGATACCGAGTTCCAGCCTTGCCCTTGTTTTGGGCCGGCTTCTTATATTTAAGAAAAGCCGAAGCTCCTGAATTCAGAAGCTTTCTACCTACTGACCGTGACAAGGACAAATTATGGCTGACATGCAACTTCGCGATCTCCAAGCCCGTGTATACAAGAAGTTGCGGGAGCCAAGACTCACCGCACGGAAGCGTATGGCACACATGATGCTAAGAAGGAGGCTGGCGTCAGCTCTACAATTCGCTGACACGGGATCTTATATGGGATGGAAGCCTATTTGCGACAGACGCCTCGAAAGTGGTGATTCGACGGCGATTTCGAATGAAGCTATAGTTGCTTCACTGGCTGAGGCTCTTGAAGCCTTGAACCTGGAAGACCGGAAAATCATCAGCAAGCACGAGAAGAATCAAGATGATGAGTACACACAGTGACATCTCTCAGTATTCGAAGCAGAACTTCACGAGTCTGTGATCATATCTACTACACATATTGATTCCCTACAAATGAATGTGTGTGTGCCTTGATGCTTCATGGAGCCGAAATCTGCAAGCAATTTGTCGTTCTTTAGAAGACTACTCACCCGTCATCAACATACGAATGCAGCACGATCCTCTTGCCTACGATATCCAGTCCTCAAATATAGCATGGAGGCTCCCAGGTCTTTTGGAGACCAATCCAGAGAGCTTCCGTAAGATTTGCGGGAAGTCCGTGGTAGGGGTGGCATGGTTCAATCTCCTTGCTTCATCAACATGGGATCACCTGGAACAACGGTTCTACCTACCATACCTCTTGCCGCGAAAGCCGGACTGTGTTGGTATTTCTAAGATATTGATTTGGTAAGGGTTGTGTATGGTTATCTTGAGGGTTCGTCATATTATGTCTGCAGAAGAACAACCGCAATGGCTTTGCTTGTATGCGAGATGGTTAGGGTTCTCCATTTTTCAGATTGTTCGCGGAAGACAATCGACAGAATCGTTCCTCCAAACTGAACACAGTCTTAGTACATACGCTATCAATGCGCAGGCAACGTTTACTTACTGTTCCTAGCTCGGGCCCCCCGTTTGACTCATATACGTGCTCGATATGATCGATGATTGATTGTTCCGACGAGTTTGGCTCGGGGAGATCGTCCTCATCGACTCGAATTATATCGGAAAGCTCGCGGTATTTCTGAAGAGGAACTTTAAATCGGAAGTCATCGGTGCTGCGGCTGAGCGACCTCTCTCCTTCGTCATTCTGTGCTGGTCCAAAAGCGCGCTTATGACCCTTCTG